AAAATGACAGAAATACATGAGATGATACGACATCGTTTGCAAAGTGCTATTGATTCTTCACTGACTTCCTAACTGCCAAAGATTCAGAAGAATATTCCATCATCTTGTTTGTGCAGCCAAGCAACTAAGAACAAGGCCACAACTGTGTCCTTTTCTTTCCCAGCTTCATTGTTGTGGCTGAGGATAAGAGCAGAGAACGGCCACCATAACCCACAGCATATTTGAAAAATCTAAGTCTCATGGCATTGGCTTTGAACAGCATAATCCCCCACACCACAGCTTTGAGCTTAAGCACTTCTTTGCCTTCTCCTAAAAAGCCTTCAAGCCTTCAATTTCAACAGCCTCACAATCGTCGCCAAATCACTCAAATTGTGCAAAGCACTGCCTCGTCCTCCACCAACACCACCCTTTCTGATGTTAAACTCCAAATTCAGGAGGACCGCAACTTCAATCCCACTTCCACTTCTGCCACTGGTAAGTTTATTCTAAGCTCTCTAAGTCAAAAGCTATGGTGATGCTTTTGATTATTTCTTTTAGGATTTGGCTTTTTTGGTTTAAATAAGAGCATCTGATTGTATCTATAGCAACAAAAAGTTTTCATCTTGGCTTAATATTTGGAGCAAATGAAGCTATTTGGATTTGTGCTGTATAATTTCTGGTTAATTTCCAAACAATTTGCATGCTGCCAACCTAAAATGGTCAGTTGTTATATACCTGGTTTGATATATAGCAGAGAAAAAGGATTGGATAAGAGATGGTGATGGTTAAATTGCCATTCTTTATGTTATATATGTGAAATCTAGAATCTAAAGTTGATATATTTAAGATGCATTTAATTCAATTTCTCTTTTATCAATCTTTGTTATCTGTTCAAGCGTGGTCCGAATTTGCCAGAAATGTGTCCGGTGAATGGGATGGCTATGGAGCAGACTTCACAAAGGAAGGGAGCCCAATTGAACTTCCTGAGAATGTTGTACCTGGAGCTTACAGGGAGTGGGAGGTTAAGGTTTTCGATTGGCAGACTCAGTGCCCCACTCTTGCTAACCCGGAAGAGCCCGTTCTTGTGTACAAGAATATAGAGCTACTACCAACAGTTGGATGTGAAGCTGATGCTGCTACACGATACACCGTCATTGAGAAGAACATTGGTGGTGTGAATAACGAAGTTTCTGCCTTTGCATATCAGTCTAGCGGATGCTATGTGGCCGTCTGGCCAGGTGAGGAAAAGGGTAATAAGTTGTTGGAGTTGGAGTATTGCTTGATTAACCCTCAAGATAAGGAGTCTCGTGTGAGAATAATTCAGGTCATCCGTATAGAAAATATGAAGATGATGCTGCAGAATACAAGAGTGTTTTGTGAGCAGTGGTATGGACCATTCAGAAATGGGGATCAATTAGGC